TTATTTTTTGAATTCAATGATTTTAAAGATATAAGATTTTTAATGGCTTTTGGTAATACTTTGAATTTATTAAATCCATTTAAATCTAGTCTTAATAATTTATTATTTATAAATAGTGCTGTTTGTAGTATTTCATCTAATTTAAGTCCTTTTAGAATCAATATTGTTAACTTTTTAAATACTTTTTTTAAATATTTGTTGAATATTTTAAAAAATAAATTTATTTTTTTTAAAGTATAAATAAAATAATTTTTTATTTCTTAATAATAAATCTTTTAAGTATTTTATATATTTTACTAAAACTATAAATGTTTCAAAAATATCTTTTCTTAACTTTCTATCAATGTTACATATTAGTATTTGTAAAGAACAAAAGTATAATTGTTTTATAAGAACCTTTGTAGCATATTCTTAATATTATTATTAAATATAATACCTTCCAACTTATCAACAATATATCAAAAGAATAATTAGAAATTACAATCCATAGTATTATCAAATATATAAAACATATACATATTTCAAAGTATTTCATATTGCAACAAACAAAAAATATAAAAATATTTGTAAAAAATATTAAAATATCTTATATTCTTCTTTATTATTTTTTTATATTTAAAAAATTATTCAAATTATTCTATCACTATTTGAAAGTATTATCTAAATTATTAATCCATACATTGGTACTATATTCAATTTTTAAATTAGTTATTCATTATATTTTTTTTGTTTTTCAAAAAATCTCTGATTGATATCTTATAATTAATCATATACTTTTATTACTCTACTTTTTTCTTTTTTAATCATCAATAAATCAATATATCTCAAATAAAACTTGAATCTTATTTTTCAACTCTACTTTTCTTATTGGTCCATATTTGTAATATAGTTTCTTTCATTGTACCACCTCAATTCACATTATTGCAGAAAAATTAAATAAAGAAAATAAAGAAAATAAATATCTAAAAGAATATTCTACTATTTAACTTTTAAGATATCAAAACTTATCTTCAACATAATCCATAGCTTATCATTACTATCTTCTTTGTCTTCATCTAAACCTCTTCCTTTCTAGAATTCTTGCAAAACTCTTTTTTAACATCTTGACATCTTTTGTTATTTCAAACTCAAGAATATTTCATTATAAGTTCTTACAATCTCTTTGCCAACCTTAGCAAGTTTTTTAGACAATTTATCATCATCTCTAAAAAATTAAGTTATAAAGAACTTCAAACTTGCATCTTTGTCAAGTTCTTCAACATTAAATTTATGAGTCTTTGTAAGATAGTCTTCTCTTGTCTTCTAATTTTTTGTTTTTATAATTAATATGCTATCTTTGTTAGAATGTGGAATATGTATAAGTACTATATTATTGATATGACTCTTATTTTTTATATCATCCAAGTCTAACATAAACTTTTTGTTCATCATAGCTTGTGCTTCTTCTAAATTCTTTAGTTTTGATTGAATAGTCAATTGGTCCAAAAGTTTGTAAATTATTAAAAATCCATCATCCTTATTATGAATACTTTTAACAAAGTATGATACATCATGCATTTGTTGAATATTTATTAAATGTAGTTTTTATTAATGCAATCTTTTCAATTCTATCCAAACCAACAAAACATAATGCATTTATTCCTTCTTTGCATAGTTGTTTGATGTTTAACAAATATTGTTTTACACCCATTAACTTGTCTTTATAATCATGTCTCTATTTAAATAATCAAATCATGATGTTAATAAAAGATACAATTTGTGCAATTATTTCTAGCAAAACAATCTATTTACATAGTGATATTTTGACAAAACAACATTATTAAAGAACACATGTTAGAATTTATAGATCTTAAAATCAAAAAAATCGATTCAATCCATACATCAAACAAGTTCTCCAATATAATATTTATCAATGTGTTATCATTATGTACATCATTTGATTTACTCCTTTCATGATTTTTTTTCTTAAATGCTCCAAAATAAGGTATTTTGGCTAAATCAATTCCCATCAAGTATTTTCTCTTCAATGATACAAGTCTTTTATAAAAATCTGCAAAACTTGATCTTTATAAAGGATCCAAAGTCCAATATTCTTTAATCAATTTACTAAGATCATTTGAAGGTAACTTGGGACTTTCATCTTTTTCAAATTTTTTTAAAAAATCTCCTATTATTTTCACACCATCAAATGAATCATTTCCTAAAAGAATCTTAAAACATGTCATTACAAATGTATACTTATTTGATTCAAAAATACATCTTTATTGATTCCATTATACTTTTTAATATCACAAGAGCTCTACATCTTAAAATTATATATATATATATATATATATATATATTAACTTTTGGATTCTTTTTTACATTGATTTTTGAACAACTAAAATCAATCAACTTCACAATATCATATTTAAAACTATTATTAAATTTACCATCATCTATAATTGTTACAATACAAAATTGTATTGTCATAATAATGTTGACAAAACAACATTATTATCATCTGGCTTATTTATTATTATAATAATATTTTTTTGACAAAATATTATTAAAACAATATTTTGAATTGTATAATATCTGGCTTCACACCAACATTCTTGTGTACAATCTTTTATCAGCATGTATATTTTCAATGTTGTACATTAAATTTGCAAAATAAAACTTTATATTCACTTCATTCATTGCTACAAGCTCTCAAGCCTTCAAATACTTAGATAACATGGCAAAGTGGTTTACAAATATTTAAATGTTGATTTCTATGTAAAAAGATTTTAGTCTTTAATGAAACCTCAATTTCTTGATTGTAATTTTTGCGTTGACTAAGTACATCTCTTATATCAACTTTTTTTCTTTGAATTTAGCAAACTTGTTACAAAATTCCAAAACAATTGCAAATCTCAATATACAACAAGCAAATAAAAACCTCTATATTATTCAAGATTAAATCTTAATCCTTAAATCCTAAATAAAATAGGTCATAGTAAATATTTGAATAATATGTATAATTTGCCTTCAATCACATGAATATAACCTTGTTACATATTTTACAACATTTTAATAAATTTTGATCACCAAAAGGAGTATTTGAAATTTTTATTATTATATTAACAAAATTGTTACTTTTGTATGAACAAAATTAATCTCAAATGATATTTGTAATTCTTTTAGTAACTTTTTTTTTCTCATCTCTCATTATTATATGTTTAATAAATATTCACACACACAAATAAAGTAATATCAAATGTCTCATCAATCGATACAAAATGATTATGGTTGATGTTCATACCTTATAAAAAAAACCAATATTTGATTCTTAAAAATACTCCTTTGGTTACTCAAGTAACCATAGATTCTTCAAATGTTGTCTGATTACCACACAATCTTCACACGAAGACAATATAAATGTTAACAAAAAGTAATTTATATGTCAGTCCTTAAACATGTTTCGTAAAAACAAAATTGATTCATATCTTTGATAAACATTAAACTAGAACATTTTCTCATAGCAAGGCACATCTTTCAACAAAGCACCACCCATCTTTCATCTAGTAACACCAACTGTTGAAATTCTTTTTACGAATGTGATATATCTTTAAACTACTCTGTTACAAGTGTCATCTCCTCCCACCTGTTTAGCAGCGTGCCTCACTTTGGTTATTATTTCAGAGAATGTGTTGAAGCATCATACTTGGCCCGTTTGGATTGCATGTCTTTCTCTGCTAGGCTTTGTCTCTCTCTCTCTCTCTCTCTCTCTCTCTCTCTTCGAGCAATTCGAAGCGAGGAGAGAGCACAAGGCTGCGAGGGTTTCGCGACGAGGGCGAAGGAAGTGAACAGGGGAGGAAGGTTGGGGGCTAGGATGTGTGGTGTGCTTGAAACCCTCGACAGAACGGATGAAACGAACGCTGATGGGTTACATCATCCAAGCGACGAAGTTTCGAAACTCAGGTGAATAGGATTCAATAAAAACATTATCTTCTCTCAAGATTATTATTATTATTATTACGTCGATGACTGGTCCACTCACCATCAGGACTGCCGAAAGTCACACAGCAACATCCCCACAAAAGCCATTACGGAACTTCTGATAATACAAGCCTGAGAGGAAGAATCAAAAATCATTTCCATGGAAAACTGGCTGGTACATTGGGCTTGAGGATGTCCTCTGTGAAGGCCTTTCACCTGCGATCTGCGTGCACACATATCCACCCCTGCAAATGAGAGGGGCCGGTCGCACACCCTCCATGTGTAAAACACGGCAATGCAAATATATTACCCCGGCACACCCTACTCTGTCCTTTCGATTTCAGATAAAAGCGACATCTTAATCTAGCAGTGGATGGTTGAGCACCAGAGGTGCATCCATCTACGTCGTTTCGTGGCTTGTCATGCAATCTGGTCTAGCAAGGACACAACCCAGACAACCATGTGTTCATTTTGCACCTCTGCGCTTTACTCTTCACAGGGCTTCTCGATTAGGCTTCCATCGTATGTTCAAATCGGTTGTTCTTTCTGGATTTCGAATTGACCATGATTTCCACTCTTACAACGCTGATCCATTTTCGTCTATGTTTAAGGTCGCTGCCTAATCGATCTCCGGGGATTAGTCTGGTTACCCTTCAAAACCCTGACTACTCAGATGTGTGAAATTACTGAGAGTGTGAATCATCTCTTTGGGGTTCGAGAAAGACAGAGTTCTGGGTATTCATTCTGTTCAGCTAGCAGTCATGATTTGTCGTTCTAGAATTCGATTTGTGGCTGCATAGGTAAATCATCTTCAACTTCTATGTCTACATTTCACTGCTAATTGATATTACGTTAAACTTAACATTAAGGTTTCTTTTGATGACGATAAGAATAATTGTAGTGATCATTATTGTTGTTGTTGTTGTCAGTTAAAAGTATAATAATGATGCACCTATTTCATTCCACTACTGTAGAAGCTGTAGTAAAATTGAACTTGATGCAGCTATAATGCTTCAAAATGGGTGAAGAGTCAGGAATTGGTGTATAATCATACTGGGTGAAACTTAATACCCATCCTTTTAAATTGATACTACAAAGTACAGATGGTCTATATCGTTCATTTCATGTGGTAAAAAAGAAAAACAATAAATCACTATTGGTTTAAACTAGGTATGAACACACAGACTTTGACTCTTGTCCCCAAGAGCTTGGCCAACAAAGTTAATCAGAATTAAAATCAAATAAAAATGTGAAAGGGCATGAACTCTCTGGTTATTCCCTATAGACAGAAACACAGTGGAAATGCCAATTATTGGCAAACAAATGCTGCTCCAACTGGTGCTATGAGTAATGCCAAGTCATGCCACATGGTTTTGTTTTTGTTTTGGTATTTATTTTGGTTTTTTTCATTTATTTATTTTTCTCAACTACCCTTCAAATCATCCTATGGTGTAGGATTCAACAGGGAGGTTGATGACAGTGCTTTTGGTTTTGGTCATCATGTTGATACTGTTGGTGATGCCTTGAGACCCAATACCACTATCCTTCAACCCCTGTAATAACAACAACACCACTCAAACACACATCACCACTACCACCACAACAATGCTTTCAACCAACATTGACATTCTACATCTTCTTCAATTTCCTACTTTGTTTAATTCTACAGTTTTGATTGATTGTTGTTGTTGTGTTGTATTTACTTATCTATTCATTTATATTTATTTTTCATGTGATATTATTACATTAGAGGTGATAAGAGTACAAATATAGAAAGAAGTAGGAAAGAAAAGGAACTTCTAAGTGTTTTGATGTGTATTTGCTTACTTGAAAGGGGAAGTGGTCAGGGCCCCTGCCAGGGGCAGCATTGATCTGGACAGTTCCTCACTCCATGGCATTGCTCATCAAGATGGCCTTGTCAATATCCCTTGTGAACACACACCCCTGCTCACCCATCCATCTCCCACCTTATACACATGTATGTCTGTCTGTATGTATGTCTGTGTGAAAGTGTATGAATATACACAATGCAAACTTTGTTTTTGTTTTATATTTATTTATTTATTGTGGTTGTTGTTTTTACTACATTCTTTATCTTCTAACAACAAGAACATCTGTAGTTGGTTTGATAATTACAAAACTGATGAAGCAATGATATGGCATGAGGGAGGCATGGATGTTCAGAGAGAGAGAGAGAGGGAGAGGGGGAGGGGTTGGAGTTACTTGGAGGGCAAAGGAGTTAGCATTGCAGTGGTGGATGCCCTCTTCAGGAGACTTGATGCGGAGAACAGGGATCACAGGTCCAAATGGCTCCTCCCAGGCTATCCTCATGTCCGGCTTCACATTGTCTACCAGCATTGGCCATATCAAGTTCCCCTCACGCCTCCATTCCTGTAGACACAGAAACCCCCTTTCCCTCTCCAACAAATTCAGGAAAGTTCTACATGCAAGAGCTACAGAAATCCCACACCTGAAATGATTTGAAAATTAGGGCAATAATGTTGCAACAAAATCACCAACTGCAAAGACAATAAGTTGGAGGTGAGGGGGGAAGGGGGAAGGGGATCATTTGTTATGGACCTGATGGAATTTGGCTCCTTGCTGCCTGGCATCATCCACAAGGCCCTGAATGAAGTTAGCAGAAGACTCACTGATAACCGGGGTGATGTCACAGTCTTTGTCAGGAGGACCCACTGTGAGCTTCTTCATCTTTTCCACCACCCTCTTCACCAGATCATCTGCCACAGACTCCATCACACAAATGACCTTCACTGCTGTGCACCTTTGGCCACTGCAGGCATCATCAACACAAACAGACAGCTTTTACAACCCCAAACCTCACCTTTGCTGTGATAACTCTCTTCCATTCATTCACTGGATCTCCTCAAGCTATGCTCCTATTTGTATTCAACATAGGTACTTATATATATTACACACACACACACACACACACATATATATATATATATATATATATATTATGGTTTTTGATACCACTGGTGGGGCTGACCTGTAGGAGTAGCCACCTTTGATGATGTTGTTGGCAGCCAGCTCCAAGTCAGCATCCTCTAGAACCAGACAAGTGTCCTTCCCTCCAAGCTCCATCTGAAGAGGGATCATTCCTGCTTTCCTACAGATGGCCATGCCTGTCTCTCCTCCTGTGAAACTGCACACATACACACACTGACACACTCATGTTATTTAAACAATAAAATATAAATACCATTATGATCAACAATAAACTCTAAAATGGCATCATTGGAATTCTTAAAAACGTCATTGCAATGAAGTTTTAGTGACAATATCTCAACATCACTGTAAAAGAAAATAACATTTGTGTTACATTTTCAAACTCAAAAACATACATTACATGCATATTCATAAACCATAAAAAAAATAAAAATAAAAATAAAAGAAAGCTGAAAATGTGAATGAAAACGAAAATTTAAGAAAATCTTATTTAGGTTTAATTTGATTAATAACTTATGATAAAAGACAAGAAATAAAAGATACACTAGATAAGTCATGATCAAGTTTACAATTCCTGTACATGTATATGTATGTATGTATGTATGTATGTAGACTCAAAAGTGTGAAAATTAATTGATTCTTTACAAAAGATTCAATTTGAATACAATGCAATGACCAGAAGTTAGTAAATATCTACAATATTACTAATTAAAAAAAAGTTAAAGAAAATTATAACTTAGATTAATTCACATAAGTTAAGGGAAATATTTTCTTAAATATTAGTAAACTATTTTTAGAATTCAATTTGAAAATTCATGATGCACTATAAAACATTATAAAGTAAAACACAATTAAAATGTCCAACATAAAACACAATTAAGATGTCCAACATTTGGACGATTGAATTTCAGAATTATTAGAATTCTTTTCTCTATTTTTTTTTCATATTTACATGAAGTTTTTATTATTTGACATGAGAATATTTACCATATGCAATTAACAGAAATAGAGGACTTCAAGTCAAAAAGACTATCATAACTATATTTACTCCAAGAATAAGGTTGCTATGCTTTCAATTTCATTAAAAACACTTGTGTTTTCCAAGTTATTTGATGTTAATTTTTAATTTTATAAAAAAAATTATATTAAAAATTACTCGGGTTTCTTTTAATATCCAATTTTAATCACATATTGTAAAAATGAAATTTGTCTCCAAAATTTTTTGTTATTATTATTTTTATTATTGTTACTATTTACAGTTATTTTTTGAAGTGATGGTTTTAGACAAACTGACATTAAAATTCTTCAATGATCTTCATATATATATATATATATATATATAATTTTAGTCAAACATATCTATCTCAAGAACTAGGCAGTACAAAATTTTAAAATGCACAGGTATTTTAATATACAGGCTTCCTTTCAGACCATGATTAATAAAAATACGTAATTCTTTTCTGTGAAAAATATGGAGAATAGTAAGTAATAGAAGTAGTTTGGTTTAACATGGTATTGTCATCAAAGACATGAAATTTTCACAGAATTGTCTTCCAATTGTTTTGTGATGAAATTGGAATTTTTGCTCGTGTGATCTTCAGTTTTAAATTTGTGTATAAAATATTTAAAAATATTTCTCTCTTGTTGAAAGTAATAATTACATGAGCTATTAGACTTTGCACACTATTATGTTACAATCTTTAATAACAAATGGCATATATAGAAGGGTTGAGGGAGTTGGGGGATGTGCCTGATGCAGCTGATGCTGGGGTGAGTGGTGAGGAGGTCCTCAATTATGGAGCCCTTCCCCGTGATGGCTGAGACCAATCCCTTTGGGAAGCCAGCCATGTGCAGGCATTGGATCATATGCAGGCATGACACTCCCCCCTGCACCACCCCATGCACACATGAATCAATGACTTTATTTAACTATTTCCTTCAACATCCCCTTCAAAGTAGTAATCACCCATTCAGCCTTCAGTTTCTTCACATGTGAATATACCAAGTCTGTGTTTTGACCAATCATATTCAATTGTTTCAGAGCCAATAATTTCATATCCATTCAGCTTCTAGACATACCCCACACTGGCTTATCCTCTTATCCAAAAAGGACAGTTTGCTCTTTTAAACAGGTTTTAAACAGGAATTTGATCACAATTTGGTTCTAAATATTGTTGTTGAATTCTGTACTGTCAAACTATTATTACTCCAGTTCCAATTTGAGTTGTGTAAATAGATATGTTGAGGGGTTACCTGAGTGGGAGGCTTAAGAATGACAGCATTGGCTGCTACCAAGGCTGGCCCAAGTTTGGAGACAGCCAGGTTCACGGGATAATTGAATGGTGGAATGGCCAACACCACACCCAGTGGAATCTACACTTAGTATGGCACAAGGAAATCAGAGAGTCACACCCCTCACATTCATTGAATTACTTTGATCATTCATAATGCTTGTAATTAGTCCATACCTTTTTGAGTGAGTGAGTCATATATATATATATATATATATATATGATTATTGGGGTGTGGACATGGTCACACCTTGGAGGCAAGGCAGTATTTGTTGCGGCCATTGCCAGGGAAGGAGTCAGAGACAAGGAAATCCCCTTTGCCAAGAATGCGGACACCTTCTTCTGCTGCATATGCCAACAAGTCCCCTGACCTCACCACCTGGCCCGATAGCAATTCCTTACCAACTCACCTTAACATTGAAGCAACACCTTTCCAAATAAATTTAGAAATTTGAAAGAAAAATCTCTAACCAACTTGTATGTTTTACATCTATTTGAATCTTTAAAGTAAGAATTACACAATTTGATGTGCCAAAGTCTGGTTTTTATACCAAGGACAAGGTACAGATGTATTACTTTTCAGAATCATGTAGAAATGATTTCAACATTTGTTGAATTTGAAGGTGAGCACAGTTTACCTCAGTGATGGCATCTTTTAAACACTTGGCCACCTCAGCAACAAGGCACTCAGCAATGGGGGCCTTCTGCTCTTTCAAAATGGATGCAAATCGATGCAAAGCCTCAGCTCTTTTCCACAAAGGAGTCTTTGCCCATCCCTTCTGTGCAACTTTTGCTTTTTCCACACAACTGTTGACCTCCTCTGGTGTGCATGCTGTCACCAGCACACACTAAAAATTTGAAGAGAAAAGAAAAAGAGCATGTATATATGTATATATATATATATATATATAAATATATACTGTGTGATTTTACATGATAATCATAATTTTTTATTTTTGTGAGAATCACCATCATTTCTATCAATTTCTGATAGCATAGTAGAATTTTAAAAAAATATTCTGCAGATGTAGTATTCCTATTTATATTTTAAAGTAGAAAAGGCATTTTAAGATTACGAAAAATGGGCAATTATCACCAAGGTACAAGTGTGCTGATATGCACCGGCAGTCAATGCATGTTCCTACAATTGAAGGAGGCCAATCCCCACCTCAAGTCTTCTTTAGATGATGAAAATAGGGGGGAGAAAGAAAATAGAAAAAATGCATGCAGCATCCATCAATGCCAACCACATCTCTCCCTTTCCCCATCCTTCCTTGCTTCCTTGCAGCTCCAAGGCTGGTGTGTGGATGCCTGGACTTGCAATTCAAGGAGGGCACCAATGGACCTCACAATTATCGAAAACCACAGATGTTACTGATGCCAGACTGGCAGTTTTGGGGCCAGGTTTTAGGGTTTAGGGTTTAGGTCAGTAGGAATCGGTCTATTTACACATGCCGATTTCCAAAGTCTATCCAGCACACACACACACACATACCCATTCCCCTAAGGTCTTCTTTGGGGAACCTTCTGTGAGGATAGGAGCTGAGAATCTCTGACAAAGAGGCCAGCTCAGCAGCACATCTTTCATTCCCACATATTCTACCCTTGATGGAGGGCACTGGACAAGAGTGGGAGGAGGGGATGCATGCTCAGCAAGGGAAGCTCAGCAAGGGAAGGAGGGAGGGAGCTTCAAATTACACTACATTATAGTCTGGGAATTTGATGTAGTCAAACCCCACAAGCCAACCTGGTTCACAAATTGTGACCAAGAATCTCTCCCTTGTCTTGAGCCCTGTTTGCAGGTATTCCTCCTAATCAGCTTTGGAGCATGAGTTTGGTGTAATAGAGCAAAAATGAAGCACAGTGGAGCATGAAGCACTCAGCCACTTGCTGGAGGTATGCTTCAGCTTGGGATGTTGCAGTTACTGGAGGCAAGCAAATGGTTTACTCCAGTTGTAGTGATGTTTCAGTGCTTGCTGGTACAAAGGGGTGTGTGTCTCCTGAGAGTGTGCCTGCTGCTTGTAATGTCCACCCCCTTTTAAGCCTCCCCCTGATTTGAACTTTCCTCCCACAACTAAATGCTGTACAACTAAGTTCACACAACATGGAACCATTTTTGGCTTCCAAGATATAATTTCCCATTGGAAGGAGCAGTTACCAGAGCTTTCTCATCACAGCATCCTCTCTGTGCCCCACAAAACTGGGGCCAGCAATTGCATGTGAGCAGATTCCTAAATATCCTGTTGAACTGGCCCATCAGTAAAATTATAGTATGGCTACAGTGATTTCTCATCAGAGTCAGATCTGCTCACTTGCAAATTGCTGGTCTCCACTTATCCCTATCTCCATGATTCAAAACTATTACAACACATAGGATCATTTGACAACATCTATCGCAAAATGCAATGTCTCAAAGGACTTGAGAACAGGTCAAAACTTATCACCTTCCTGAAAGGACTTGTCACTCACACTCTCAACACCTATACTTACAATTACATATATTTGCCATTCCAAAGTTTGGAAGTCCTTCAGTTCCACAAGCCAGCAAGCATGGTGACTTGCATTATTCGTGGGTTTGCAAGAGTGCTAGACTACAGCTTCTCGATAAAAAAGATGACACATGACCAATTTTGAGTTTCAAGCATTTTCTGTTGGTTACTGTTCACTAATCATTTCTTAAACAATCTCATAATTCGTTTTGTTTCCTTTTTTTTATAAACAAAATAAAATGAAATTCTTGAGGCATAGGATATTTCTAGATCAATTTTTAAAAATAAAAATACTGTTGTTCAAAGGTAAATGCATGATATCAATAGTATTAACCATACACACATACTAAATGAACAAAAAAAAAAAAAAAAAAAAAAAAAAAAAACTCACCTGTGTTCAGAAGTATGAAAAGATGTTCAACTGTGTTATTAGTATAAACTTCTGAACATGCTCAATTGAGAAAAACTATTGTTCAATGGATTATTTACATTTTCATCAATTGTTGATAATGTTTTTGAAAATATGAGTTTTCTATTTTTATGAATGCACCTATAAATGCATGTAAATGTATACACAAAAGTATGTAATAGTAGAATACAACATGAGATAGTTTGGGTTTGTGGGAAGACATTCAACAAGACATGTTCCCCAACTTTTGGTAATTCATCACAACCATCACATTTATTTAATTACTGCTTAGTTATCAAGGACGACTTAAAACTTGGTTGTTATCTAATCCTTAATTTTTTTATTTCAAAATTGATTTTATTGATGGATGGTTCAACAACTTGAATAATTAAACAAATGACCTAGAGACATCATGAAAGCAGAATACTTGCTTTCAGCCAATGTGAAGCACAAAATCATTAAATCATTCAAACAAGCTATCTCTGTTGTTGTGCATGAGAGTCAAATTTGTCTACTTCTGTGACAAATGAATAGCCAATTAATTCAGAGATTATATAAATTTTACTCGTGGAAAAATGATTAATATTAAATCAACTACTGAAATCTAATTCACGTCATTGTTAATTAAAATAAATAGTCCAAGATAAATCATTTAAAATTTTAAAAATCGCTAAAAATGTAATTCAAAAGTAAACTTTACATCAAATTAAACAAAATTTTAAGCATATTTGATTTTTTGATTAAAAAAATATCAAACAATTCTTCATACCCTCAATGTTTTAGCACAATATTTTAGTTATTTTAACACATCATAAATTTAAAATCGTTATAGATTTCAAATCCCAGTTCATTATATGAAATAAAATAAATTTTCAATTGTTGTCTAATTAAGTTGTTTTGTTACATCTGTGTCTATATATGTGTATATATAAATTACTTATTTTTTGGATTCTATATGTATATACAATTTAAAACATGTTTTAGTATGTTTTATTAAATAACTTTATCATTCAATAACTTGGAACTCATTTAGTACAACACATCTTATTTGAGTGGATGCACTAAATCTCAGTGACATTCTGTATAGCTTATTTCTGCATCAATATAATAACATCTAAAATCCTCATGTTAAAATACAGTCCAAGGCAAACTCTAGTATCAACATTATTATCATAAAATATATTTCGAGTCATGATAGCAATTTATAATAGTCAAATTCTTTAATTATGTTTATCATATTTTACTGGTATAATAAAAAAAAAATGTTTATGCAACAATGCATTAGATTCTATGAATGCATCAAAAGCACTCGTTAGAAAATCTAAATACTACAGCACAATCACCTATTTACAGCTCTGAAACCTGTGTAGTCCTATGCAATGTCCACTAAATTAAATCTCAACCCAAATGGTTATTTTCATACAAAAGCTAACATTGATTCAACTGTTTGTTCCATTTATTCAGAAAGAATCAATACCTAGTCAAAATTTCATATCATTCTGTACATTCTTAAGGTGTTGAGAAAAATATCATATTCACTGTATATAAATGTGTGTCTCTCTCTCTCTCTCTCTCTCTCTCTATATATATATATGTATATGTATGATTCACTTTCAAACAATATTCTTGATTAAGAAATAAAATAACTAATTTTAATCAAATTTCATTGCTTGCAAATGATTTACACAAACCAATTTTATTAAAAAGGCATTTACCAATATTTTATCAAATATTTATGCAACAGAATGCAATATGTTCATTCCTACTGAATAGCTCAAGCTTCAAACTATAATTTTATGAAAAGATATATATATATATATATATATATATATTTGAACTGGTTTAGTTCAACAATGGAGAATCTTTTAAATAGTGTTGAACAATTGACTGCATGCAATTCACTCCAAGGCATACTTCTATTGTGATTTAATACAAAAATTGTTACAGAAAAAGAAAAAGAAAATCATATATATATATATATATATAGAAAAATTTCAGGTTTACAAGATCAATATGTTTTTATCAATATTTTTATATGTATAGAAGATTTTTGCAGTATTGAAAGTTGCCAGAAAAACTAATTTTGAAATAAAAGAAACAAGTTGCAATTCAATTCGTTGAAGAAATGAAAAAAACACTCATAAATGATAATCATTTTTAAAGAGAAAATGTTTTACTTTGAATTTAAGCTTTTCAATTCAAGAACTTAATTGACTAATATATATATATATATATATATATATATATCTCTTATAATCTTATGCAACTGCTTTCTAGCACACACACTATCATAACAAAATCTTGAAAAGTAATCATTTCATTATGTTATAAATTTTGCAAACCAGTCACATGCAGAGAGAATTTTCTCATTCAATTATATTTGTATTTCTTTCCAAAAATTAAATATTCAGTGTGATGAAATTTTAACATATTTAATATTTATATTTAAATCTATATATATCTCTCTGTTAAATCATTTTTAGCATAGTTATAATCTTAGACTAAAGCTAATCATAAACTTTAAGAATATGCTTCTTCTGACATGCATTTACACCTTCTGTGTGTTAGAAAAGCACATTCTGCCTGGATGATAAATGTCAAAATTCACAGATACCTTTATCACTTAGAAAGCAGATCCTGTCCACAAAATTAAGCAGTGTGAACTGTTATTCTAGGGGTGTGGAACATTCGGCGTTAAATTTACAAATTAAAACATATTCAATATAATACTAAAAAGACAGTAGTTATTTACATTTAAATAGAGCAAAATCATTCATATAGAGGCATTTATTTTAATTTCACTATCAACTTACATCGTACATTCAAGTTGATGAATTACTAATTTATTTTAAATACATCTTCTCCATGTTTGAAATAGCAGTTACAGTATATAACATTTCATGAAGTAAATATACAGTGCAGTTCCACACGAATCTATCAAAAATCTAGAATTCTGACAAATCATTTAAACTTTGTATCTAAAAATAAGAATAGTAATAGCATGTTGTAATTTTGAGATTTAAATTTATAGAAATCATAATTAAAGAGTTATGTCAGCTCATGAATACATATTTGTATATGTATATAATCATTTGTTACATTCAAATTTAGAAAATATACATGAATAAAAGAATAATATATACATATTTCAAATGTTCATGTATATATATTTAGACTAAAGGATGATATTGATTCAAATTCATGTGCAGATGTACATTTATTCGTGTACATCTTACATTCCTGGATTTAAGTGTTAGGATTTTGAACACTCTCCTGTCACAAACTCTTTCAACAAATTTTAGTCAATATATTGTTTCTTTTCTTTTTAATATGGTTGAACATCACGCTGATAAACAGAAATGTTTATTTTATTTTATGTAATAATTATCCTGTTAAAATACACTGTTGCGTGGTTTCTGAGATATTGTGAAGTGTTGAATATGTATGTATATATATATATATATATGACAGCTCATTAGGCAATTTGTGACAATGTTATGGACAATATTCAGTTTCATACCGGTTAAATTGAGCAAGTTTGATTTGTTGATACATTGAAAGAGGCTTATCCTCATAAATCGACATGTTATTAATAAGAACGTAATTTTTATAACATTTCTCAGTCATTGTTTATTTTAGTACTCTGCTGTAGACAACTTGAAACCCATCTATTAATATTAAAATTTGTGAGGCATATTGTTGATACTAGGTATCATATGGATGATAATTTTGATGCTGTTAAATGTGTCGTTAATATTGTTACAAAATTTTCCAAATTAAAAAAGCCCTAATGTATTTAATGTTCATGCTTTCAGTAGGAATTGTAAAAGTACTCTTGTTGGACTCCACTGAAAACCATTGCGGTCTTCACCTTACCAATACTAAATGTCTCAAATGTGAGGAAACAACAAAATAATTTTGAAAAGCTACAATTATTGTAAGGTATGTGCATGCATAAATGAATTTTATTCTATCATGATAACATATAGCTATCAATATAAATACACTGAAATTTCAAAACTTAAAAAAATTATGAATAAAAAGAATTACAATTTTTTTAAAAGGTATTGGGGGTTTTAAATTAACCCTATGTAGTACAAATACACAAAATGTTATGTCAGACTTTCTCAGAATAATAATATTTAAGATTTTAAAAAATCATATTTCAAGAGAGAGTATTTATGTTGTTAATAATCATAGTTTTCATAAAGTAATATATATATATATATATATCTAGCGAGAGAGAGAGACTGCAACTAAGATATTTTCTCTGCAGACAAGATACTTTTAGTTTGAAGAAATTTTCCATTTCTTCATGTTTTAAGTTACATATTAATCATGTGAGAAAATCTCAATTCACGTAGATTGACCTAAAATATCTTGATTCATTCCATTTTTAGATTGAATCGCTGAAAAGCTTGAAGGGAAAATTAGGTAATTTTGAACTAATACAACTTCTGGACCACAATCACAGTGATGATTGAAAAACAACCACTGTCAGGTTCACTATTAATATGACTTAATCATGCACTTGACTGCAAAATATAAAATTGTGCTTTTGTGGAATGAATGAACCCTCGATTTGAATTTCATTGTAAACAAACTTGGAAAACAATAAGCTACCAATAAGGTGTATTTTTAAAAAATGTACTTGGAAGGATTTGTGGGTGTCAAGTCCGATTTGACAAGTTAATTGTAAAGAAAACCCTCATGAATTACTGCTCAATCAAAACAATATCAAAGAAAATCATGTATTGAAGAATGTTTGAGGGAAATGTTGAGAATCATGCATGGGTAAAGATATTATGGGTAAGTGTGTAATGGATGCTCACAAACCTTGCACTTTGAATTGGAGCTTCAAAGTGGTGGGATTGAGGACCCCAATGGATTTTCCTGAAGTGGAGACCTGCCACTCTCCATTGCTGTAGAACTTGTAGGTGTCACCATCCAGAAGCTCCTTGAAGGTTTCAGAACCCACTGCACTGCTGAAGAACATGGTCCCACCACTTCCACTCCACTCCTCTCTCTCTCTCTGGACAATCTCCACAGCCCTCTGAAGACAGGCAGATAGATAGAATGATGGATGGATGTATTTATAGATAGATGGATAGCAAGGGAAGGAAAGTGAAGAGGAGGAGAATCTGGGTGCAGTAGCTGCTTCAGGGGATAACTTTGGATAACTTTGCAGCAGCAGCTCATGTCATGCATTATAAGTTAGACCTGGTGCACTCACTCACTCTGGTCATGCAAATTGAGGGATTGTTCCTCACATGAACAATTCATCCCCTTTCTTTCTATGCCCCTGCAGCTGCTTTCCCTCTTTCTTCCTCCTGCCCCTGTCCTCTTCTGTGCCCATCCCTGGTCTTGAGCAAGTTGCTGACCACAATTGTGTCCCATCCCACATGGCGAAAGAGATGTGGCCTGGGAAAGAGCATTACATCACCACAGCATGAATGGAGGGTGGACATATCTGGACCTTATCACCTTCATTCTTTCTTTTTTGACCTTCAATGCTCTCCCAATGGGCTTCATGATATAGGCCACCTGCTTGCATGAATGGAATATGCCTACACTCTCCCAGTACCTCTCAACTGGTTTCCACAAGTCAATTCATCCCTCATAGAAATAGCCCTGCCTGCCAAGAGATTCACTATAGTATGGTGTGGTATGCAACTGCCTCATGTAATGGACACCCTTCCTTCTCCAAGATTCTTACCCCCTCACAGACCCTAAAACAAAACCTAAATCCATCTTGTCATCACTACAACACACACAAAATCTACACATTTCAACTTTCAGTTCAGTTTATTCATTTGGAGACATTTGAAAGAGCATAAAGATCCTAGTCACACTCTTCATGGAAGATATAGACATGGTGTTCCACCTTACTTTTGCTCACATGAGCCTTGTGTTGGGATTAACTTTAACATGAGTGAACAACCCATCTTGACTATATTTTAAAAGGTTGATTTTATCACTATTATTGAATTGTTTGCTGGAGAACTTTGCATTTACAAGTTTAGGGTTTAGGATGAATAAATGATGCCATCACCAAAATTAAATCTACAAAATTAATGTCACAAACATTAAACTTCAAAGTGACCTAGTGATGCTGAAGGTTTGAAGAATGAAAATGATTCTGTAGAATACTCTACTGCCAGTTTGTCTTCATGAATAACTTTGTAATTACCTTGTCTGCCAAAATGTCATGTGCAAATGTACATACATACATACATACATACATACATTCTAAGACTTAGTATTATTTTTTTCTAATTTATGAAAAATCAAATTACTGATTCAATTTTTTTATTAATAGTAATAATAAAATTTCAAATAGAATTTAAAAAAACTAAAATGATCTGTAACCTTGAAATTGAATTCTTATTCAGAAAGTTATTGATGATACAAGTGAGCTATTTCACATTTAAATGCTATACATTTACACAGTAAAGTAAAGTCTGGAAAAGTAGTATAAAACTTGGATTCTAAGATAAGAATATATTTATTCATACATAGATTTCACATCATATATATATATATATATATATATACATACTAATGTTATGAAATGAGAAGGTCAAAGAAATTTGGGTAGTAATCTACTTATATAAAAAAAATGGTGTTTGTCCATTTGCTTGTCCAGAGAAATTACTGATTGGTTTAGATTGTTATCACCATTTAAAATCACATATTTGGATTTTTAAAACTTAGTTCTACCTCACATCAAACTGTCCCCTGTTCTCCTTGTCTTGTGTCCTTGTCCCCATCAACATTCTACCTTTTTCTCCCCATTCCATGTCCCCGTTTGGAGGGCTATTGTGTTTAATTTAACCTACTAGAAAATACAAGATCATTGGCTTGGTAAAATGTATTATATACATAGAAGATTACTTAAGATCTACTATTATTTGAATTGGTTAAGGTTTAATAATACACATGCCAAAAATAAGAATTTTGATATACTAAAGTAAGTTTTTATAGTTTTAAAATTATTTTCTACATATATTTATTTCCTTTAAAAATAAGTAACAATTTTTTTAATCAGTTTTCAATATATATATATATATATATATATAAAAATAATGCACTAACTTTCATAATTTTATCTATTGCATTTTTTAAATTTAAAACATCTTCCATGTATATTGTGTAAAAATTTGGATTTTTTCAAACAACATTGTACAAAAAATAAATTCATGTAAAAATAAAAATAAATTGATTTAATAAAATTAATTTATTCATATATATATATATATATATTAATTCATCAATTTAAGTAATTGAAAAGATTTAAATTACTATAAAAACTTCATTTTCAACCAAAAAAATATTATACAACTTTTAAAGCTTGCAATACTATTTGGTAATTTTTTCATCAGAAAAACATCTTTATTTTATAAAAATATCAGTGATTTAAGGTTATTTCAATGGTTATTCAATCATTTAGGTTTCTAAATAGGTTTTTTCTAGTTAAGTATCTAATCATTCTTATTTATATATATATTTTTTATTGTTTGTGATTTTAAAAAATATTTATTGAAATTATAAAATATAAAATATTTGTTTCATATGAATATATACACATTAATTTTTTTATCTTTTGAAATATCAAAGGAAAAATTCAAGCTTCAAAATTAGATATATTTATTTTGAGAAATAAGAAACGACTTAGATATTTTTACAAAATTTTGGATGAGTTTTAAAAAATCAAATTCATATCATTTTTGTCTTGCTATTTGATATTTTATAATTAGAATAAATAAATAAATAAATTTTGTTTAGAAATATTATTTATTAAAATTATAAAATTTAAAATATCTTTATATATACAATAATTATATTTACATGTAGGAGTAATAAATTTTTATTATTAAATTGAATTGGTTATATTTTCTCTGTACATAATATATTCAAATCATATTTTGTTGTATAAGTTGTGGAATTTTAAAATCATTCTTGCAATGATATGATCCTTGATTAGTTGATTGCTTAATATTTTTCATGAACCAATAAAATGTCTATTTGATAACTAAAATACTTGGTCACAATACATATAAAACTCTATTTAAATAATATATACAATCTATCTCCTTCTTTAATCCACATCAAATAAATAAAGACTTTGTTGTTGATAACTTCTTAATATATTTGCAAGAAGAAATTCTATAGAAAATCCAATCTTATGAAATGTCTAATCTGTAGATAGATTATATCTTTATAACTACAAAAGTCCTAAAATGATAGAATTGAATAAAATTCTAATAATATTAAATATTATTTTGCTACTATGGCCCTCAAATGATATTTCTAGCAATATGGACTCATGAGTAATATTGCCTAAAGATAAAAGTTAACCATCTATTACTTCTAAATGTACAAATTTTGGCTTTGGTATCAAAAGAATTTTATTGAGTTTGAAAAATTCTTCATCTAAAAAACAAGCAGATGCTCTTGAATCTAATAAGGCATTTATTTGAAGTTTTTTTAAGCCAAGAAATAAAGATATAGTAGAATAATAAGCTAGTTGAATAGAAAAAGAGGAACCTTGATGAATTTGAGGTGTTAAAATATCCAAATATATGATTTGTATTGTAGTTTTTTTTTTTTTTTTTTTTTTTTTTTTTTTTTTTTTTCCTAAAAAATTATATTCTTAGCTCTCTCTCTCTCTCTCTCTCTCTCTCTCTCTCTCTCTCTCTATATATATATATATATATATCTATATATATTCGGATAATTCTTAGATTTTTGACCTTTTTTACTATAATATAAGTATAAGCTTTGTTAAAATCAATGTTTCTTTTCTTTTGCTATAAGAGATTTGAAATGTATTGCATCAATTTGCACATCCTCAGCTTTAAAGTGTGGAAGTAATATATTTGTTGAAGAAGCAAAGTTTAGATTTCTAGTGCAATGCTTTGTCAAAGTCTACAAGCATTAATCTTAATGGTGTTAAAATAATTAATTATTGCACTTCATACGTTGATTGATAGATTCATTGAAACTTTGAAGAATAGGTAATAATAATAATAGGTCTTTTATATTATCTCTTAATTCTTAATAGAATTAGCTTATTCCAATTGATGTCATAAGCCAATTATCTAAAATTAGATATATTAATTTAATCATTCATTCCAATTGATGTCATAAGCCAATTATCTAAAATTAGATACATTAATTGATGTAAATCATAATCTTGAATATTATTGTATTATGTATCTTCTTATTTGAAAATACACCAAATACCTAATTGTCAAAGATAAAGTCTTATGTTGCAATTATCTAAAACATTCTAATAGGTTTCAACCATTAAGAAGGAAGCAATTTGAATTCTAATACAAAAGGATTTAAAATCAATGCAAAATATTCAAGAATACTCTTCTTAATTACTTCAAGCAAATACAAATCCTATTTGTCTTATTATTTGTCTTTTTTTGCAACTTCTAGTTTTTTCTCCAAATCCTAACTCTAATCAATGAACTTCAACTATATGTAATTTTTAATCTAATCATCTAGTTGGTGAAAAATTTTATATAATAGTAAAAAAATACATCTTCTATACGTTTAAAAATTTTCAATCCAATCCAACCTACAAATTATAAGAAAAATGTAAAAAAACCACACTGGTATCCCTTGACCTCCAACTTGAAGGTTGGTGATGAAGTTTGAGCAAATTTTTTTCTATCTCCAATTGTTAATTTCAGCTCTAAATTGGTATGTAGCTTGATATATTATTCTATTAAAACCATGTCATATTTATCCTTATTCTAATAAGTAGATCTTTACATATTGTAAATTCCTATTTAATTCAAAATTGCTAATTTTTAATACTTTCTTACATTAATAACTAAATATCTCTCAATTATATTGTTAAAATGATACAAAGGTTTATACACAATTAGTACACCTATTTAACTACATGTTGACAAAATTTAAATTATAGATGCCAAATGCATCTCGTAAATCAGCTGATAGTACTAGCTTTAATTATATTGCATAAATCCAAAGTTACCAATACAAATCCTAATTTTGCACAACAATTGAAAAATCATTTCAAAACCAATAAAAATAAGCTTTAAAACTTTGAAATGAACTTGAAGCAAAATCTTTGATTCATTCTTTGATCTCTAAAATCTCTCTTATTTTGCCTAAAGTGGCCATTTTAATGGCTAGAGGTTTGATTTTGATCCCAATCCACAAATGATCATCCTCTAGATATCAATGCAATCTTTTCTAGGGATTTTTTAGCACGATCTTATCTTCAACTTCATTTTAGAGTTGATAATATTAAATATTACTTAATCTATTTTATTTTTATTAATTTATAAATTTTGTGAGGTGCTAGAAGAGTTTTTTTACAATCTAAAAGACAAATTTGGTAACAAACCTTTAATCTACTAGCTATTAAAATAAGAAAATAAACTAAGAAGATTTCATAAAAGCCTTTTTTAAATATCTAAAATTATTATTGAATCAAGATAATAGAATATAAATCATAATATTATTTTTGTTCATATTTTCACCATATAATTGTGATACAATATGCCAACATAATGAGAAAATCTTTATTGTTGTTCATTGAGCCATGTCATGTTTTTCAAATGCCTCCATATATACTTTACAAAGCTTCATAATTGCTTAAGATTGGACACATCTTCTCAAATAAAAGAACAAACCAAGATAAGACTTATCTTATGAGTAAGATTTTAATTAAACTAACTTGCAATTCTTTTATTGAATAGTGCTTAGATTGTAAAAAAATTACCAATTAAATTTGATTAATAAACCTTTGGAACTTCAAACATAAGCCATTGAATTATTTTAAAAGACTAATCTAAGGCTCTTTATAGTGTTGAATAGGTAATTTTTCTTGTTGAAGGGAAGTACCATCTATCACAGACATATATTTATTATAATTTTTATTCAGATATATGAATAGGAAGAAATATGTAAAAGTAGATTAATTTTATAATA